TTACATTTATGAAAATAGGCTGGTCCTGATTTCATTAAGTAATTCCTACAATAATAACTGAAGGCCTGCTTTCAGCAAAGTCAAACAAAGATACCATTTTTGATTGTTAGATAAAAAAAAAAACAATATGTTACAACATCAGTGTGATTTATAACAGTGGTTCCCAAACTTTAAAGCTTTTGTCCCACAAAATAACAGCCGCAGAGACCTGAAAAACCATTTTTAGGTGATAAACATTAGTATCAAGTCAAATAAACAAATGCATAGTGACAATGTTCATTATGCTACATTTATCCATTTTACATGAATAACTTCACTCTTTTGTAAGAGCTAAGCCAAAAGAATGTTGCATATATGTAATTAGTTCTGAAAAAAAAAAGTTAAACCCCCAACTTGATGTTTTGGGACCCCACTGTGGGTCACGACCCCAACAATGGGAGCGACTAAATTACAAGAACTATGTCATTATTTCAGAAAAATTTAACAGCCATGYGGTTAAAATATAATTATCAGATCAGATAGTCATAATTCCAAACATCACATTCAAAACATYGACTAAAACTTTGCAGTGCTGTTGTAAATCTTCACATCAGCTCTTTTACTGCTCCAGCTGAGTAAAACCAAATAAAACATACCGACCCATATAAGCACATCTTTACTCAGATCACCTCTTATTACTTCAACAATAAAAGCATTGATTATATTGGCTRAAAGTGTGAAAATATTCAATATGTAAATATGATTTCATTAAAGAGGGCCTGTGTCCACTGATTAATTGACTTGAAAATACATTTTTGAATTCCCGTAAACGTTATGTTTTGGTTGATTTCAGAGAAAGAACAATAAGCTCCTCCTGTAATATCATGGAGTCATTTTTGACATTATTATTATAATAATGCAGTTTTGTTGCTTTTCATTTGCAATTTTCTCAACTAAGTGTCTGTGACATTAAAGTGTGTAATTAATTTAGGCATATTAATAAAAGCAATGCAAACATTGTTAAAGTTTACTGTTCACTCCACCCCTGCAGGTTCATTAAAAGCTGCTGCTGCTGCAGCACTGGCCCATAATATCACCAGGACTGCATTTAAAGCCCTCAGCCGTGCTGGACATAAGACCGCATTACTCTGCTGAAAAAAAAAGCTGATTTAAGGAAGAGCAGCTGAGAGGAATTCCTTCTCGCTTTAATTGCTTTAGAAACGGTTCCCACAAAGAGACACTGCTCAGATTTACCTCCAGTTTAAGTGCTTCATCGGTTCACAAGTTAATCCGATTTTATTTTCTTCTTTGGGCTCAAATGTTCTGCAAAAATAAAAAAAATAAAAATAAAAGAGAAGGGGG